AACACAACAACGATGTAAATGTTGCAGTTTGTAAATTGTTAGATGTGATGACTTCATTCGTTTTTTTTATAATGCTTTTCCCCATAAATCACTGCATGTGCTCCATGGGGTAGGGGGGTGTTGGGAATGTGGTGCTTTATAATATTGATATTTTTGTATCATTGGGCCTTGATATATACCTTATATATTTTTCAACATCAGTAAAACTGTCTTTATTTACATAGGCAATACCTAAAAATGACACTCTCTCTGGGTAGTGCCTTTACTAGACATTTTATATCATTTTCATTTATTTGCCAATGATTTGGTAAATTTGCGCTCATTTTGTGATCTCTTGTTTAGAGCATTTACACACTAGCAGCTGCAAATTTAGGTGTTTATTTGATGCCATTCTCTTTTGGTTCTATCTTTGCTTTACTTTTTCTATTATTCTTGGAGATATAAAGGGTGTTTAGAATTTTTGTTTAGAATGTTTTAAGCAGCTGTCAGTAAGGGTGCTAAATCCTTGATTGTGAACTACATATTAAAGTGACAGGTGCTCCACTGTGCTCAGACTGGTGCCCCACATGGATTTGCACTCACCGTCATCCCATGACCACCTATCTCTAAAATGGTAGCACGTGCCTTTTGGGACTATCCCAATATGCAACGTGGTAATAGTAACTGATGTTCCTCAAAAGGGAATTAAGCAACGTTGCTAATGGCAACCGGTGTTCCTTGACAGGGGCTATATCACTACCAAAAATCCTTCTCTATGTAATTATTATATATAATGAAGAAATGCCTTTTCATCCCCACAGCATTGACAATAACGGAAAATAGGACCACCAGATATATAATTAGCTGCACAGCTGAGGTGCGCTGTGCATGCCGGGATAGAAGACAAGGCGGTGAATGAAGTATAGGACTGAGAACTGTCAGTAATGTTCAGACAGTGTGGACTTCTCAGACAAGCTAATTATAAATCTGGTGGTCATACTTTTAGTTATTGTCAATGTTGTGGGGATGAAAAGGCATTTCTTCATTATATATAATAATTACATAGAGGAGGATTTTTGGTTTTAATATAGCCCCTGTGAAGGAACACTGGTAACCATTAGCAACATTGCTTAATGGCTGTGGAGGAACATCGGTTACTATTACCACTTTGCATATTGGGATAGTCCCAAAGGCGCATGCAACCATCCTACAGATAGGTGGTCATGGGATGACGGTGAGTGCAAATCCATGTGGGGCACCAGTCTGAGCACAGTGGAGCACCTGTCACTTTAATATGGAGTTCATATTAAATACACCCTTGCACTTTATTTCACATACTGGGACTCAGTACTATTACCAGTATAACATATGTTTATTGTTTATCACAAATCATTTACCTATTGTTACCAAGTTCATTGTTTGCATGGCCCAAGCGTGGTCTATATGGTATGTATTAAAAATTTTGTGTGTATGAGTTCACAATCAGGACTGCTGCTAAAAACGGGTATTTTACATTTTTGCTTTTATTCATAAGCACAGCAGCGTTCTTTCTTTCATGTTTTAAGCAGCAACATGACATTATCATGTTTATCATTGCTAATGTATAGCATACACACAATGGGTCTGCATCGATTGATTGTCCCTTCTTGCCTTGCTAAAGGGGCCCTACACAAAATGGTAACTGCAATTACTCATATAAGCTAGTAAAATCTATAATGGTTTGAAATGTATTGTCAGTGCTTTGTATCCCAGAAGGTGAAGAGGCAGACCTAAGGCCTAAGCTACATAGGCAATTTTTAGTTCAAGACACAATAATAGTACATTGCACTAGACCTGTATCTTGTCCTAGCTATATTGCTGTTCTCCATATATCGTCCTAGCTGGTGCTCTTGGATCATGAACTGTGTTTTATATAATGCAAACCTTACTCCGATTTTCATTTGTATCCTTATATTGTACTATTGCTTCCAGTCCATGACTTCTTTGTAATGTCTTGTAAAAACCTAATAAATCTTTTGTGAAACAAGACACAGTAATGAAAGTTGGTAATGAATGTTGCACTTAGTTAAAAACATCTCTACCCCACTGGTTTATATAGCGATTGCCAATACTCTGTCTCATCTCATGACTTTCCATGACTGATCTTGCATGACTGTTACATTGCATGTTTTTTGTATAGTCATTCACAGAGTGATTGTTACAACATACAATTCTCAGCAACCACAGCATAATTCAAAGGACAAGAGGTGACGTGAGTCAACAACAGGAATCAGTCACTCATCAGAGTGATTTTTGGTTACTCCAGAACTCGCATTAAAAGTGCCTATGCTTAGGCTAAAGTCTTGTTATGGTTTACATTAAGACTTCCATTTTTTTTCTTGCAAAGGTTTACTTACAGTGCAGTCACATATGACTGCCGAACATCTAAACACTGGAAGATACCAATCAGTGTGCACACACACCCAACATTAGAACAGTTTCTTAGAATATATATCTAGCACTCTCCCACTGCTACAATCTTCAAAAAAGTGTAGTGTGCTCTTAAATTGGTTATATTTCATACTGCATATACTGTATTTACAAGAATATTCAAATTAAGCAAAACTTTCTGCTACAGTCATGCACTGCTTTGAAGAGTAAAATGATTGTATTTGGTCTATTAAAGATCAGATACATAGGTTATATTCCATGATTTTAGTTCTTGGGATCATGGAGCACTGGTTCATATTTTTTTATTGCGTCTCCAAGAAACTTGCCTACATCCCAGCATGAGTGGAGGATATTAAAGAGTACATACATACAGGTGAAACTCAAAAAATTAGAATATCGTGCAAAAGTTCATTTATTTCAGTAATGCAACTTAAAAGGTGAAACTAATATATGAGATAGACTCATTACATGCAAAGCAAGATAGTCCAAGCCGTGATTTGTCATAATTGTGATGATTATGGCTTACAGCTCATGAAAACCCCAAATCCACAATCTCAGAAAATTAGAATATTGTGAAAAGGTGCAATATTCTAGGCTCAAAGTGTCCCACTCTAATCAGCTAATTAAGCCATAACACCTGCAAAGGGTTCCTGAGCCTTTAAATGGTCTCTCAGTCTGGTTCAGTAGGAATCACAATCATGGAAAAGACTGCTGACCTGACAGTTGTGCAGAAAACCATCATTGACACCCTCCATAAGGAGGGAAAGCCTCAAAAGGTAATTGCAAAAGAAGTTGGATGTTTCCAAAGTGCTGTATCAAAGCACATTAATAGAAAGTTATGTGGAAGGGAAAAGTGTGGAAGAAAAAGGTGCACAAGCAGCAGGGATGACCGCAGCCTGGAGAGGATTGTCAGGAAAAGGCCATTCAAAAGTGTTGGGGACTTTCACAAGGAGTGGACTAAGGATGGAGTCAGTGCATCAAGAGCCACCACACACAGACAATCCTGGACATGGGCTTCAAATGTCGTATTCCTCTTCTCAAGCCACTCCTGAACAACAACCAACGTCAGAAGCGTCTTACCTGGGCTAAAGAAAAACATACCTGGTCTGTTGCTCAGTGGTCCAAAGTCCTCTTTTCTGATGAGAGCAACTTTTGCATCTCATTTGGATACCAACGACCCAGAGTATGGAGGAAGAATGGAGTGGCACACACTGCAAGATGCCTGAAGTCCAGTGTGAAGTTTCCACAGTCTGTGTTGATTTGGGGAGCCATGTCGTCTGCTGGTGTTGGTCCACTGTGCTTCATTAAGTCCAGGGTCAACGGAGCCGTCTACCAGGAGATTTTGGAGCACTTCATGCTTCCTTCCACAGATGAGCTTTATGGGGATGCTGACTTCATTTTCCAACAGGACTTGGCACCTGCCCACACTGCCAAAAGCACCAAAACCTGGTTCAATGACCGTGGAATTACTGTGCTTGATTGGCCAGCAAACTCACCTGACCTGAACCCCATAGAGAATCTATGGGGCATTGCCAAGAGAAAGATGAGAAACATGAGATCGAACAATGCAGAAGAGCTGAAGGCCGCTATTGAAGCATCCTGGTCTTCCATAACACCTCAGCAGTGCCACAGGCTGATAGCTTTCATGCCACGCCGCATTGAGGCAGTAATTTCTGCAAAAGGGGCCCAAACCAAGTACTGAGTACATATGCATGCTTATACTTTTCAGAGGTCCGATATTGTTCTTTGTACAATCCTTGTTTTATTGATTGCATGTAATATTCTAATTTTCTGAGATTGTGGATTTGGGGTTTTCATGAGCTGTAAGCCATAATCATCACAATTATGACAAATCACGGCTTGAACTATCTTGCTTTGCATGTTATGAGTCTATCTCATATATTAGTTTCACCTTTTAAGTTGCATTATTGAAATAAATGAACTTTTGCACGCTATTCTAATTTTTCGAGTTTCACCTGTATATATAAAATCAGTATATTTTTCTACAGCTAAACAGAATGTGCATAAGAACACTTAAAATATTGATGATGTTGCATTTCCCTAAAAAAAAGTTAGTCATGCCCAATAATAGAAGTTGTCACCATACTAGTTTTCTAAACAGCAAGCAATAGACAGACACTAATAAGGACAGAGAAAGAGCGAAGTTTATGGGAAGAGTGCATTTATTATTATTGTTCTTGATGTAACAATTTAAATTGTGTTTGTGGGTATGATGGTGCTTTTTGATTCAGGTTAGCACACCTGAGAAAATTTTTAGACCATGGCCTTTAAGGCATCAGTTAGAATAGTATTAGGAATCTTGACTCTAAACCATAGTGAATCTTAGAATCTAGTATTTGTGTGTTTTATCTTACAGCAGTGCTCTACACATTTAATTTAAAACACGAGTATTGGAAAGGTGGTTGTAAAAAATCCCTGTAACACTAATGTTTTAGATATGTATCTCTACTACAAAAACTCCTTTCTTCTCTGTATTCAGGACAACTGATTTACAGCCCTATGTTTCATTTCATCACTTTTATCTTGGAATTATTTCACCAAATCCAGGAAAGCATTAGTGAGTTTGGTCACTATGCAAGCGCATAGTCAAACTGCCCTTTTTCAAGTCCATCTACTCCATCTGCCCAGGTAGAAGTTGGCATACTCCTGTATGGGTCAAGAAGGATCCTGAAACACCTGACAATGAGGACACCCAAAATGATAAATAGTAAAATGACAAAGGCAAATGTGGTCTTTTGTTCCAGTGTCATTGAGGGGCCATAGGATGCATTCAGCGTAGGTAACATTGTGGAAGGTAAAGTCTCTCCATCCATCGTCCAGGAAAATGGAAACAAACAATTCCAGAATGTCTTTTTCCTCTTCATAACTTCTCCAAAGTCATGATGGAAGTACTTTGACTTGAACTGAGTGTCTATAAAAGAAAGAAGCCTAGGTCAAGTATAAAATACATTTTTATTGCCTTTTTTACACCTAAGTTTTTTTTTACTTGTTTTTTTACAAAAAACACAGAGAAGCAGATATGAGCATAGCAATCAATCAGCTTCCAGGTTTTATTGTCAAAGTTTAATTGAACAAGCGAAGTTAGAAGCTGATTGACTACCATGCGCAACTGCACCAGATTTTGCACTCTCCAGTTTTAGTAAATCAACCCCTTTTTTAGCAATACAGATGTTCAGACTGCAATGCAGGTGCCTTAATATACACAATATACACATGTTCTACTTGCAGCAGTTTAGGCACGTTTTGCATCAGGGTTATAGAAATATCTTTGATGACTTTTACTGCACTAAAACTGCCCTGGGAAAAAAGTGATTTTTACTCATACAAGTGAGTGTGTGTGCGTCTTACAGTGCAGGACAAACCTTTTTACTCTAGGGATTACACTCTATGGATAATGGGTCTTTTAAATTATTCCATAAAAACATTTACAGTGTTTTAATAAGATCTGAAATGTCTGATTGTTAGAAAACATGCCAGATCATATTCAACAGAATAGCTATATATATATATATTTATATAGACACACATACACACACACATACTATATTGGAAAAAGTATTGGGACACCTGCTTTTACGCGCACTTGAACTTTAATGACATCCCAGTCTTAGTCCATAGGGTTCAATATTGAGTTCACCCACAGTTGGCAGCTGCAACAGCTTCAACTCTTCTTGGAAGGCTGTCCACAAGGCTTAGGAGTGGGTCCATGAGAATGTCTGACCATTCTTCCAGAAGCACATTTGTGAGGTCAGGCACTGATGTTGGACAAAAAGGTCTGGCTCGCGGTCTCTGCTCTAATTCATCCCAAAGGTGTTCTATCGGGTTGAGGTCAGGATTCTGTGCAGCCTGGTCAAGTTTTTCCACCCCAAACTCGCTCATCCATGTCTTTATGGACCTTGCTTTGTGCACTGGTGCACAGTCATGTTGGAACAGGAAAGGCCATCCCCAAACTGTTCCCAGAAAGTTGGGAGCATGAAATTGTCCAAAATGTCTTGGTATACTGACACCTTAAGTGCTCTCTTCACTGGAACTAAGGGGTCAAGCCCAACCCCTGAAAAACAACCCCACACCATAATCCCCCCTCCACCAAACTTTACTCTTGGCACAATGCAATCAGGAAAGTACTGTTCTCCAGGCAACCACCAAACTCTGACACGTCCATCAGATTGCCAGATATAGAAATGTGATTTGTCACTCCAGGGAACACATCTCCACAGCTCTAGAGTCCAGTGGTAGTGAGCTTTACACCACTGCGTCCGACAGCTTGCATTGCACTTGGTGATCTAAGGCTTGGATGCAGCTGCTCAGCCATGCTAATCTGAAGGTCGCATGAAGTTTGGAGGTCTTTAGCTATTGACTCTGCAGACCGTTGGTGACTTCTGCGCACTGTGCGCTTCAGGAATATTTAGTTGCAAGGACGTCTGATGACGAAACGCGTAGGGAGGAGCTTGTGGATGTGACGTCACAACGTTCCCTGATCTGTTGGCGTCTGTGGATGCCGGAGGAGTTTGTGTTCGTTTTCTGCTGAGAACGCTGTTTTGTGCTGGTGTCGGCTCAGACACCGTTTATTGTCAGTGCAATGATTCATTTTAATAAAAAAGTTGTTTTAAACGTTACTGCACTATGAGCTTCTCCTCACTTGCTTTCTGAGTACCATTCTGAGCATATGAAGAGTCGGGTGCCATACAAAAATACTCCATATTGCTGATAATTCTCCTGAAGAGTATTGCTCCCAGAGCACAAAGCGCTTATGCTGATTTTTAATTTGATCAGCATATTGCTCTGCTGAGTTCATTCAATTTATTCGGTGGTGGATTGTTTGCACGGTGATTTTGGTCTAGCACAGAAATACTACTTTGGAATAGAATATTGTTCATGACACAAAGAAAAAGATTTTCTTGTATTGGTGTTGGACTGTTTTTTGCACATATATTTTTTGTTCACATTTATTTGGACACTATTAATATTCATTGGCATATAGATTTATATAATTATATAGTGTGGATATATTTGAAATTGGGTTGATATTTTGAGCGCAAACCTATTTTTTCATTTATGTATACACCTTAAAGGTTAGGTTGTACAGCTATTTATAGTTTTTTCACTATAGTGTTTAGTTTATTTTTGTGGCGCTGTCCATATTTTTTCAATGAAAATTCACAGATGGAGTTATTGCACAGGTGGCAACCTATCACGGTACCATGCTTGAATTCAGTGAGCTTCTGAGAGCGACCAATTCTTTCACAAATGTTTGTAGAAGCAGTCTGCATGTCTAGGTGCTTGATATTCTTGATTTTATACACCTGTGGCCATGGAGGTGATTGGAACACCTGAATGCAATCATTTGGAGGGGTGTCCTAATACTTTTGGCAATATAGTGTATATATATATATATATATATATATATATATATATATATATGATTAAGAGGGTGGACAGCACCAGTAGGTAAATATGGTTGTCTATGCAAGTAACCAGCACAGTAAGTATATACTTGCAGATAGTAACTTTAATTTTTTTTTAATGAAATACTGTATATGAATGTTTTTTTTTTTTTTACAGTCCCTTTTATTTTTTTTAATTACTTTTATTCCTAGCACAAGAAATGTAAACATCCCTTGCGATAGAAATGGCTGGTGCTCATTATGGAGACATCTGGGGTCAATAAGACCCCAGATATCTTCTCTACCTTGGAACGCATGAGTTAAAAAAAAAAAATGATCTCTGCTTTCCAGGGGAAAAAATTACAGTGTTCACATCTGCCAGAATTGGATGTGATGTAGTGACATTGTTTCCAGCCTCCCAGGACCATAGAGAAGGCCAGAGACAATGCATCCCCTCCTGCTGCCTGTAAAAGTAAAGCAGCAGCTAATCAGCCACTAGGATGGCTTTTACATTTGAGAGAATCACTGGCTGAAAAAAAAAGATACAGGAATGATATCTGTATCTGCATGCCTCATCCTGAATCTCCACTTCAAGTCCAGGATGTCATATGACATCCTACTGGCGGGGAGTGGTTAAATCCCTTCTGAGTGTTTTATTTATTAAATTATTTTTACACAAAATAGCAAAATTGAAAGGAATGAACAGGCATGTGAAGAATAAACCTATAGACAAGGGTACAAGGTTGTTATACTAACCACTAGTTGGTATAACAAAAGATTTGATAATCAGTAATTGTATAGGAGATTATTTATTTATTTATTTCAGGTACTTATATAGCGCTGTCAATTTACGCAGCACTTTGCATATATATATTGTACATTCACATCAGTCCCTAACCCTCTAGGGACCCTAATTGCAAAGCATTAAATAAAAACATCACTATCTGTATAAATATCCCTGTTACTTAATGCAATTTTTGTGATTTTCTTGACAAACGTTTTAGTCTACCTGTCATAAAAGCACAAAATTGGCTCCAGGACTAAACTGTAGGCACTGACAAACCTTTATTTGTTTTCCTTGGTGCCCCAAATACTCTAATTCCTCAATCATACTTGCAACTCCCTGATAGTGCTGAGGTCTATTATTCTCAGATTTTATAATAAAAATAAAACTTGTAAAAAATTTGAAAAATAAAAAAAATAGAATATTAATAGGAGCCTCTTAAACTCTCAGTATCCTTTTAAAGCAAACTGCACCTTTCTCATTATCTCCAATGCATTTTGAACATGGAAAAACATGGAAGGGGATTGCAGGCTTCCTCAACACCTACCAAGTGCCTTCAACTGCACTTTTCCATCAATGAAAAAGAACTCTATGAATGGAGGATAGGCTGATGAATGAAAGGTTCATTCTTCTATTCACAGATCATTTTCATTGATAGAAACTATAGTATAGCTTCTATGGCTGCAAGAAGGGGATGGAAAGGACAAGTGAAGTCTACACTCTTGATGGGTGACTGTGACAGATCCAGTTAAACATCTCCCACAACACTAGAAGATTAAGGCCCACGGGACTGATCCACTTTGTTCAGCTGGGATTCTGTCCACTGATCATTCGCTGAGCTGAGCTGCACTGAGCAGAGCGGGTGGATGACAGGTCTTTGTCCCACTCCGTTTATGCAAAGGGAACACAATCTGCTCTATTCTATGGGTGGCCGGGAGTAAATGGACCAGCTGTCCGTTTAAACTTGACTGCCCTTTGATCCAAACAGCCTAGACAGAGTGAATATCCGTTTACACCTGTTTGTCAATAGAGATACATGAACCATCCGATCAGATCCGCTTGAAAAACTGACAGGTGGACCTGATCGGATTGCCGGTGTGAAAGGGGCCTATGGCTTCAGGGGTATGGGGGGGTAGAGGACTGAATATTTCAACTATGGAAGCAACCAGCAACACAAAGGACACTTCACATTGAATGTAAGTACCATCCCCTATGTTGATTTTTTTTTAATGTAACTAAACAAAGCCTTTAAATTAAAGTAGAATTAAAAGCAAAATCTTTTATTCATTTTTGGATAGAATAAGGGAGGGTTATAACCGCTCTAATTTTTTTCCGCCATGTGTGTCCTATTGGGAAGATTTCCCTTCACTTCTTGTCCCCTGGCCAAAACAGGAAGTGATAGGAAATCCTTTCAAAATGAGGGAATCCCTGGTTTTCCTAAGGGTCACCAAAACTAGTCTCAAAACTCCCAGTTGGAAGATTTCTCTTCTATATCTGTTCTGGTGACAACCCAACATTTGAGATTTTATTTCATTTTTGGTGATAATGGTAAATAAGAAAAAAAGAGGGTGAATCTTCCTAATAGGGACACAGACAGCAATAAAAACCTGACAGGTGTTCTAATCCCTCTCCACTCTACCCAAAACTAACAAAACAAAGGTGTTGCTTTTAGCTTTACTTTAAGTTATAATTAAGATACATGTTTGCAGTTTATTTATTTTTCATCTAATATTCCACCTTTTA